GAAGGATATCATGTTTGGTAGGGTGGAGGGTCAGAGAAAAAGAGGAAGACCCCCAGCGAGATGGATTGGCAAAGTGGCAGCATCAATGGGCTCAACCGTGGCAATGATAGTGAGGTTGGCTCAGGATCGGGCAGTATTTCCTTCTTCTGTGCATAAGGTTGCTATGAGTTGGTACCTACTTGGTATGAGTTGGCACCTATCAACAACAACAACAACAATGTGGTAACTGTGGGATAAAGCACTGGATGTAACCTCAGGGTCAGTTTGAACCAAAGAGTTGGTGATTCAAACTCACCATCCTTGAAAAAAGGTTGCTATGAGTTGGAACTGACTCTCCGGCATCAACCCAGTACATTGAGGAAACAAGCTTGTTCCTGATAGGAAGAATCCCTCAATTCTGGTTGCAATTTTGAGCAGCTGCATCCATAAGAAAAGGTCCAGTTCATCAAATTGTAATAATTTGCACTTATTCACAGTATCAAACATCTTAGTCTTCATCTCTGGTTGCATTCTGGTCAGCTGGTTGCATGTTTGGAAGTTCAGTTCTGTCAAGCATACCTCCCTGCACTTCACACCAGCTGGCTGCTTTACTCTTAGTCCTAGCCCCCAGAGGCTAGGTGAGTGTACATGGGTTCAGGAGTTCATCCATCTTCCTGAGCTTCAGACCACCTAGGTCTTCCTCTTCTCTCTCTCATCTCTAGGTCAAACGGGAGTTAATGGAACATGGCCAAACTCAGGCCATTTTTTCATTGCTGCATTCTATCCACTTCCATTCACAAGTAGACCCAGGTGGAGACCAGCAAGCCTACTATCCCTTTGAGTTTCAGTTCTAGTTGGGGGTTTTCCCTGAATCACTGATTTCTTGCCTTGATGCCTCCAAAGCAAAATGCAAGTACAATTTGCAGAAGATAATTTAAACTGGTTGGAACATTGCATAGATGGGTATCTGTCAGAAATTTCAAGCTGGATTCAGAAGAGAACACTGAACAAGGGGTATCATTGTTGCCACACCCTTTTTTAACAGAGCAGCTGAAGTATTCGAACTGCAGACTTTTCAATTAGCAGCTCAGCGTTTCATCACTGCATCACTGGAGCTCCTGAGAGGAGCTCACGGTAGGAATTGCATTGTAACTGAATTGTTGTAGATGCTGTCATAGGAGTGTTTGCTGGGTTCAGTAGCTTAAGAAAGTGGGTGTGGTCTCTGCCTGATTTGGCCAGGAGAAGTGCTGGTAGGTGTAAATTCTTGAGATTTAGTCTTTGGAAGGCAGAGGTGTTCTTTTCCTAGAGTGAAATACAGGAACTGTTTTGGTGTGTGGCACTGCAAAGTGATGCTTTCTGGTGGGAGTGAAAGATAGTAGGGAGACATGCCAGGCAAAGCTGACTTTGGTCTTGATTCTATTAGCCTATGGGCTCTTCTGAAGGATCCATTGAGTCATTGCATGTTATATTTATCTTTTGGGTAGAAGACACTGGCAGCTGTATGGAAGATGAGCTAGGTGGCAGTAAGACTGAAAATAAATGATGATTACAATAACCTCAATGTGATAGAATGAAGAACAGGGTGAGTTAATAAGTCAATAAGACTTGGTCTCTAATTGCATGTGATGAGAAGGAAAGCAAAGGGAAGTAGTCTAGTGTGAATGCTTCATTTCTAATTTGGCTGATGGTAGAGAGAGATATAAGTTCATTTTTGGACTACTTAAGTGTAGGTGTCTTTGAGAAGTCCAGGTGGGTATAACAGCTAAGTATCTATTGTTATGTACAGTATAACCACAGATTTAATGACTTTAAATAACACATTTTTTATCACAGTCTCAGGAGTTTGGGGCTGACTAGTAAAATATCTGCTTCTGAGCTCATGTGGTTGTTGGCAGCATTGAGTTCTTTGCAGGCTGCTAGACCTCACCTCTTTATGTCTGTCAGCTGAAGGCTGCCCTCAGTTCTGTGTCACATACCCTGTTTGTAGGCAGCTCATAACATGGCCCTTGGTTTCTTCAAAACTAGCAGAGCTGCTCTTAGAAGATGGGCATTAAAATCTCATGTATTTTCATCACTTAAGTGTCATCCCTTCCCATCTGCCATAGTCTGTAGGCTAAAAGCAAATCACAGATCCTGCCCTCACTCAGGGGAAGTGACTGCACAAGGACTGTGACTACCAGGAAGTGTGGGAGGGAGTCATTGGTCACTTAGAGTCTGTCTAGTAAAGTGGGGACGGAGCCACTGTGCTGAAGGTCATACATCAGTAACTGATTTGTATAGGATCCAGACATAGGCATTCTGACTTTCAAGTTTGTCCTCTTAATTACTGCCCTGGCATACCTCTGACCTTTGGATGAAGGGACATGACTTGGGATGATAGATTTAGGAATTAGTGACTCATAGATAGTGAAACCATGGGTGTAAGGTCCATTCAGCAAATCATCTTGGAATCTTGTTAAAATGCAGCTTTCCATTCCATGGATTTGCTCATAGTTCCCAGGAGATGCTCAGGTTGTGGCCTGTGGACCACATATAACATGCTTGTTCAGGGTGACTGTGTAGAGTGAGAAAAGATCAATGGGAAGACACTTGAAGCACACCAGATTTGTAGATATTTCAGAAAGAATGTTAAGGTTGAAAGGAGTTCTTGGTATAGCATGTTGGGAACTTCAGAATTTTACAGGAGAGTATTGGAAAGATAGATATTTTACTAAGCCCCTCTCTAATACATAGGATTCCTTGATAATATGACCCATGATGTAGAAAACTCTGACCGGTCACTCTACTTAACAGAATTTTAAGAATTAAATGTGGCTTCCTTTTATATTCACTTAAAAAAATCCATTTCTGCTCTTATTTATTTTTTTTGTTTACAATCAAATACTTAGGAAATTCAATTATCTTTTTCTTAAAAGAGTAAAACAAAAATACTAACGGCTGCTGGAACAAAGTAACACAAATTGGATCACTTAAATCAATAAAAATTATGTCACATCCTTGAGGCGGGAATCTGAAAGCAGGTGTCTCCAGGACCACACTCTTGCTTAAAGTCTCTAACGGAGATTCCTTCCTTGTCACTTCAGCTTTCAGCTTCTAGTGACTTCATATGTTCCTTGGCTTGTGACTACATCACTCCAGTCTCTATCTTCAAATGACTTTTTTGTCTGTTTTTCTTCTACTGCCTTTTTAATAGATTTGTTGTTGTTAGGTGCCATTGAGTCAGTTCCGACCGTAGCGAACCTGTATAGGGTTTCCGAGGAGTGGCTAGTGAGCTTGAACCGCTGACATTGCAGTTCAAATGGCTTTGTAGTCTGACACATTAACTCTCCCAGTGCCATACCAGGACTCCTCACTAGATTTAGAGTCTAAGACAAATTCAGGACTATTTCTTTTTGAGATCCTTAATTAAATTAATTATATCTGAAAAAACCCTTTTTCTAAATAAACTCACATTCATAGGTTTTAGAGTTTAGGACTTGGACATACCTTTTTTGGGACCCTATTCAAATACAACTTAAGTGTATGCAGTTTGAAAAAAATTGAAGTACATTGAAGTGTGCAATTTTTTTTTTAATACCTGAAAATTTTAACATAAATTGTTTGTTTTTTATTAGAAAATATGTAAAAGCAGAAACTCTTATGACTGTCACTGATCCTGTACATGATATTGCATTTGCTCCAAATTTGGGGAGGTCATTCCATATTTTAGCTGTTGCAACCAAAGATGTGAGGATTTTTACATTAAAACCTGTGAGGTAAGTTTTAGAAACAATTTTTTGAAAGTACTCTTGAATTTTGCTTACTTTGATTTGTAGAAGAGAGAGCAGAGGCAACTATTATCTGAAGAATGGTTTCTTTAATGAATGGTCTCTGTTAAGATACATGACGTTTAGAAATGGTAAATTGAGTAAAGAGAAAATTTATAGTCTCAATTGTATTTTATTTAGGATAATATCAGCTGATTTGGAGTTTGTGGATATAATTGGTGCTTTGTAAAGTATCAACTTTGCTGCTGTTGTTAAGTACTGTGGAGGCAGTTCCACTCATAGTGACCTGCCAGGGACCAGCCTTGACAAATTATTAGGGGACTCTCAAAGGGGAATGTGGAGTCAGTGAAAAACACACACACAGAGTTGATGGGTCGTGAGTCTTAGACAGGTGATGATGACTTCTCTTTACTCAAAAGTTTTTTGCTTCTTATATACTATTATGATCAATTATAATTTAAGTGTTACATTCTTTGTGTTTAACAAACATTCAGGTTACAAAAAAAGCAAACATCAGAACATCCCTTTGATTCTTATCTATCCTGTTCCTTTGCATCCCCTAATTATCCTGATAACATCAGGTTTATTTCTGTAACTCTTTTTGTTTTTCTTTAATCCTCCTAAGAGTGTCAAATTAACTTTTAAGCAAAGTTCTATATCTTGACTTGCATTTTTATTCTCATCTATTACTTTTTATACTTATAATGGATTTAAGAATAAGAATATAAAAGTACCTAGAGTTTCATAGTCAAAGCAGCAATTCCCCTATACTAACAATTTCCCAAAACCTCTTAGTTAAATTTCTACCCATTCCCACAGCTCTTAATTGCCTCTTTGCTATCTTTCTGGTGCTGCAGTGTCTCTTGCTGAAACTAAGCAGGATGTTGATTTCAGGTGCCTCAGTGTCTCTTGGTGAAACTAAGCAGGATGTTGACTGTAAGATTGTTTTTTAGCTATCTTTCAGGTGCCTCAGTGTCTACTAAGCAGGATGTAATCTTAAGCTTGAAAAGCTCTTAGCTGATGTGGCTTTTCCTAATGGTGAGACTTATTGTTGATGTAAAAAGCAACTAGTATACCTTTACATGATTAAATTTAGTGAGAGAGTGTCTAAATGTAATTTTAATTTGTACTATGATAATAGCAAATTACAAGTGAATATATAGAAAATTATTAAAGAACTTCTTATAATAAGATCAAAATTGAGCCATGCACAAAAGTGAAAAACAAGAACTGCAAGGCCTAGAGCATGAGGTTCCCCTCAGGGCTTTGCCATCCAAGGAGACACTCTTTGTCACTTTGCTAAACAATGAGCTTTTCATGCTTAGGGTCTCTCACCATTCTGTTCCTTGATGGCATTGCCTTGATGGCATGGCTTCTGCCAGTGACCCTGCACAGGGTTTCCGAGGCTGTAAATCTTTACGGGAGCAGAATGCCTATTCTTTCTCCCGTGGTACCGCTGGTAGTTTCGAACTGCCAACCTTGAGGTTAGCAGCCCTATTTGTAACCACTACTCTATCAACTTACATAAAATTAAATTAGCATTGAGACATTCTGTTTATTTGACAGGAAAGAACTTACTTCCTCTGGTGGACCAACAAAATTTGATATCCATATAGTGGCTCAATTTGATAATCATAATTCTCAAGTTTGGCGAGTGAGTTGGAATATAACAGGGACAGTACTAGCATCTTCAGGGGATGATGGCTGTGTAAGATTGTGGAAAGGTAAGATTTTCAATGAAGGAATAATTATTGTTTTATAATTTTTACTAATGTTTTTAAGAATAATCTTTATGTGACTGCCTTTAAATTATTTTATTTTAAATTATATTATTTTGAGTTTTAATAATTTTACCTACTTCATAGCAATAATGACTACTTTTTTTTCTTTTAACTGATTGCTGTTGCTACAGTTTGGTTCTGTACTTTCCTTTGAGTGTTTATCCTTCGGGTACAGATGTTTATTATCCATCTCTCACCATCATGAGTGGGAACCTATATTTAAGATTAAAAATTATACTTGCTTTAACTGGATTAATCTTACCAGCATTTCTACAAGAGGAAGATGGGGAAGTCTGATTCCATAAAGATTTCAGTCTTGGAAACCTTTTGGGGCAGTTCTACTCTGTTTTATAGGATTGATTTGAGTTGTAACCAACGCATTGCCAACTGGTGTTTTTTGGCAGTTCATTTATGGTGAGCAGTTGCTGTTTCCCAAAGCACAGTTTGACCAATCTTTAGGCCGTTTCATGTTTGGCCTTGTTATATTGTTAAGTGCTATTGAGTCTGTTCTGACTCACAGCAACCCTGTATAGGGTTTCCTAGGAATGGCTACTGGGTTTGAATCACCGGCCTGTGTTCATAGCAATTCAGCGTGTATCCTATAGTTCCAACTCATAGTGACCTCGTGTAGGGTTTCTGAGGAGTGGCTGGTGGGTTTGAACCTCTGACGTTGTAGTTCTCAGTCCAGTGCTGATCTTATAGCATCATAGCCTTGTTGTTGAATCTATGTACAACAGAATGAAAAGTTGCCCGATACTGGGCCAACTCAAAATTGTTGTCACGCTTGAACCCATTGATGTTACCACGTTGCCAATCCATCTAGCTGGGGGTCTTCCTCTTTTTCTCTCACCCTCCACCTTTCCAAACATGATATCCTTCTTCAGCAACTGGTCCCTCCTGACAATATGTTCAAAGTATGAGAGACGAAGTTTGGCTATCCTGGCCTCCAAGGAGCACACTGGCTTTACGTCTTCCAACACAGATCTGTTGGTTCTTTTGGCAGCCCGTGGAACTTTGAATATTTACCTCCAACACCATAACTCAAAAGCATTAATTCTTCTACGGTCTTCCTTATTCATTGTCCAGCTTTCGCATGCATATGAGGTTAGTGAAAATACCATGGCTTGGGTCAGGCACACCTTAGTCTTCAAGCTGACATGTTTCCTCTTCAGTATCTTAAAAAGGTCTTGTGTAGTAGATTTGCCTAATGCAATACGTCGTTTGATCTCTTGACTGCTGCTTCTGTGAGTGTTGATAGTTGATCCAAGAAGCATGAATAAAAAGTTAAAAAACAAAAAACTTACGTGCATCAAAAGATGTCACAAGAAGACTAAAAAGGGAACCCATAGAATGGGAAAAAATCGTTTGCAATGACACATCAGATAAGGGACTCATTTCTAAAAGATATAGGAAACTACTACACCTCTACAAGAAAAAGACAAAAAAAAAAAAAATTAAAAAATGGGCACAGAACATGAACAGACATTTTACCAAGGAGGAGATCCGGGCAGCCAGCAAACATATGAAGAAAGTTCATGATCACTAGCTATTAGAGATGCAAATCAAAACAACAATGAGATATCATCTCACACCAGCAATAACAGCAAAGATCAAAAGGTAAAGGACAATAAGTGCTGGCAAGGATGTGGAGAGAGTGGGACGCTCCTGCATTGCTCATGGGATTGCAAAGTGGTCCAGCCTCTTTGGAAAGCAATATGGTGCTTCCTCACACACCTTTTTTAATATTAAACCATTCAGTGTTGCCATGTTCTGTTAGAAAAACCGCCTCTTGGTCTTTGTACAGATTCCTCATGAGCACAATTAAGTGTTCCGGATTACTCATACTTCGCAATGTTGTCCATAGCTTGTCATGATCCACACAATCAAAAGCCTTTGCATAGTTTGTAAAGCACAGGTAAACATCTGTCTGGTAATCTCTGCTTTCAGCCAAGATCCATGTTGTCTTCTGAATCCAGCTTGAACCTCTGGAAGTTCTCTGTCAGTGTATGCGTACAGCTGTTTCTGTATTATAGTTAAACTTTTACTCGTATGGGATATCAAAGATATTGTCAAATGATTTCCGCATTTTGTTGCGTCACCTCTCTTTGGAATGGGCACAAATACGGATTTCTTCTAATCAGTCGGCCAAATAGTTGTCTTCCAGATTTCTTGGCACAGATGAGTGAGTGCCTCCTGTGCCACCTCACTTTCTTGAAAGATTTCAATTTTTATTCCATCGATTCCTGGAGCCTTGTTCCCTGCCAATTCCTTCTGTCCACCTTAGACTTCTTTCATTATCATTGGCTCTTGATCATATGCTACCTCTAGAAACAGTTGAACATAAACCATTTCCTTTTGGTACAGTGACTCTGTGTATTCCTTCCGTCTACTTCTTATGTTTTCTGCATTATTCAAAAATTTTCCCAGAGAATCTTTCGATAACAAGTCTTGTCTTGCAATTTTTTCTTCGGTTCCCCCCGCTTGAGAAATGCTGAGCATGTTCTTCCTTTTTGCTTTTCTCTCAAGATCTGTGCACATTGTGTTGTAATATTTGACTTTGTCTTCTCGAGCTGACCTTTGAAATTTTCTGTTCAGCTCTTGGACCATCTCATTTCTTCCATTTGCTTTAGCATCTCTATGCTGGAGAGCAAGCTTCAGTGTCTCTTCTGACAGCCATTTGGATTTTTTCTTTCTTTCTTGTCTTCTTAGCAACATCCTGTATGATGTTCTTGATGTCATCCCATGACTCCTCTGGTCTTCGGTCTTTAGTGTTTAATGTATCAAAGCTATTCTTCAGATGATCTCTAAATTTAGGTGGGATATATATCAAGGTCATATTTTGGCTCACATGGACCTGTTTTCATTTTCTTTAACTTCAGTTTGAATTTGCATATGAAAAATTGATGGTTTGTTCCACAATCTTCCCCTGGCCTTGTTTTGACTGATGATACAGAGCTTTTCCATTGTCTCCTTCCGCAGATGTAGTCAACTTGAATCTATGTATTCTATCTGGTGAGGTCCATGTGTATAATTGTCTCTCATGCTGTCTAAAGAAGGTATTTGAAACGAACAAATCATTTGATTTTGCAGAATTCCAACACACTATCTCCAGCATCATTTCTATCAGCAAGGCCATATTTTCCAACTACGATCCTTCGTCTTTGTTTCCAATGTTTGTATTCTAATCAGCAGTAATGATCTTGATTGGATTTTTGATCAATTTCAGATTGAATAAGTTGGTAGAATTCTCCTATTTTATCCTCACTGGCTTTAGTGGTTGGTTTGTAAATTTGAATAATAGTAGTATTAACTGGTCTTCTCTGTCGCTGGTATGTGGATATTATCCTATCACAGACAGCATTGTACCTCATGATTGATCTGGATTTGTTCCTTTTGACAATGAATTCAACACCAATCCTCTTCAATTTGTTATTCCTGGCATAGTAAACCATGTGGTTGTCAGTTTCAAAATGGCCAATACCAGTCCAATTCATATCGATGTGTATGCATTCAATTTCATTTTTGACAATTTTGCCATTGAGTCGGTTCTAACTCAGTGACCTTGTATAGGGTTTCTGAGTAGCAGCTGCTGAGCTAGAACCACTGACCTTGCGATTCAGACTGACTTTGCAGTCCAGTGCATTAACCCACACTTAAGAATCGGGCTGCTAACCTGAAAGTCGGCAGTTCGAAACTACCAGCGGTTCTGCAGGAGAAAGATGAGGCATTCTGCTCCCGTAAAAATTTACAGCCTTGGAAACCATGTGCAGGGTGCCGTGGAACCGACTCCATGGTACTTAACAACAACAATCACCCTACGGCTTTGATCTTGTTCCTTCAGACTTCTTTTTGTTTCCCAAATTAAAAAAAATTTTTAAACTCTATTTGAGGCCGTGGTACTGTTTCTGTGTTCAACTTTTTGAGGAATTGCCAGTTTCCCACAGCGGCTGTACTAGTATAGTTTACATTCTCACCATCAGTGAATGAGTTTTCTGTTTCTCTACACCCTCAACAACACTTTTTTTTTTTAATCATTGCCATTTTTATAGGGGTAAGATGGTATGTGATTATGGTTTTGATTGCATTTCTGTAATGAACAGTTGTCATGTGCAGTTTTCACGTGCTTGTTAGATAATTAAATATTCTCTTTTGTGAAACATCTATTCAAGTTCTTTACCCATTTTTTTTTTAATAATGTTTTTGTGAATGAGTGAAAGTTTACAGGGTAGATCATCAGTTTTACATTCAACAAAACATATACTTTGTCTGATTACAATGATTATTATCCCCTCCATATACCATCAATTAACGGCATTTCTCTATTCATTTAGTAGTTTTTGTTTTTTTTAAACACCCAGGCATATATAATAATTTATACCACCAAAGGGTACATTCTGCCGCCAGCTCTTAGTCCCTCTCTTCCCATGAATCTAGAGTCCTCTGCTGCTCCCTTTCTCCATGTCCTCTTATTTGCCTCCATCTCTGGTGTTGCTATTCCTAGAGTTTTCGGTAACTAGCAATTTGGAAGTAGTTTGTCACTCTTTCTTCCAAGTCTGTCTTTGTCTGGAAGCTCATCTGAAACCTGTCCACCATGGGTGACCCTGCCGGTTATTTAAAATACCGGTGGCATAGCCCTCAGAATCACAGCAACTCAAGCCACCACAGCACGACAGACAGATCAGTGGTGGCCCTCAGACGACGTATTGCATTGGGCAAATCTGCTGCACAGGAACTTTTCAATATGTTGAAGAGCAGAGATGTCAGCTTGAGGACTAAGGTGCGCCTGACCCAAGCCGTGGTATTTTCAATAACCTCATATGGTTGTGAAAGCTGGACAGTGAATAAGGAAGACTGTAGAAGAATTGATGCCTTTGAGTTGTGGTGTTGGAGGAGAATACTAAAAGTGCCGTGGACTGCCAAAAGAACCAATAGATCTTTTTTGGAAGAAGTGCAGCCAGAGTGTTCCTTGGATCCCAGGATGGCTAAGCTTCGTCTCTTATGCTTTGAACATATTGTCAGGAGAGAACAGTCGCTGGAGAAGGATGTCATGCTGAGTAAGATGGAGAGTCAGAGAAAAAGAGGAAGACCCCCAACGAGATGGATCAGCCAGGTGGCATCATTGATGGCATCAAGTGTGGCAGCGGTGGTGGGGTTGGCCCAGGATCGGACATTGTTTCGTTCTGTTGTGCATGGGGTCGCTATGAGTTGGTTCTGACTCGATGGCACCTGACAACAACAACAACTGGTGTTGCTGCTTCTCTGGATAAGTTCCTGCATTCTGCTTATGCTCTTCTCCCTTGATGGTCCTAGGGTCCTCTGTTTCTGGACTGTAAAATTTACTCCCCTGTTTTTGTTACAAAACTTCTACCTTTACAATTGTGACAATTGGAATTAGTCATGATAACAATGACTCACTATTGAATCAAAAAAATCTTATCCCCACCTCTTTTTTTTTTTTAATTAATGAAAATTTTATTACTTTTTATTTGTGTCCTTTTGGATGCTTATATTAGTAAGGAAATAAACAATTACATACTAGATATGTGAGTTACTGACTAGTTTAATTAGTTTTGTTTAAAAATGCTGCATCTTTTTAAGTTGGAAACTGCAATTAATATTTTTTATGTCTTGGAAACTACTGTTACAGAGTTACAGGGCCAGCTTCTTATGAGTAGATAATGCTTGAAAATTGATGTAATATTTCATAGAAATGACCAGATGTCACAATGATTGTGGGGTTGTTGCAGGACTAGGCAGTGGTTCATTCTGTGTGCATAGGGTTGCTATGCGTGGGTATCGATTCGATGGCACCTAACAGCAACAGCTATTTTTCAGTTGGAGAAATACATCATCAATGACATTTTTCTATATGAAGGGCTGTCATTTTCACACTGAGTCCTACACTGTAGACATGTTAGCAGTTGCACTTAATTCTGTTTTGCTTTGAGGTAGCCATCTATAGATCCAGGTAGCTATGAATCATTATTCTTATGAAAAACATGTACCATATTTTTACGTAAGTATTATGTACATTATACTTTTTTACTTTTTTTTTTGCCAGTTGTGCTTTCCCCTGAGGTATTTTCTCAAGCACACTATGCTAATTTTTATAGAAATATACTGCATGCATTATTTGCATTAAAAATATCCTAAGTGTTGTCAAAATAAGTTATACTTTCCTGAAATGAATTTTCCAGAGATCCATGTCCAACTTCTGGGTACAGAATTCATTGTAGGGGTCTTGGAACATTTACTTCGTGGTGCTCTTCCTGAGTGTCCTTCTTCATCTATTAACCTTGATGTAATTCCTGCTTTGTATCCCCACCTCTTTTTACCAGACCCATCTAGACAAGATGAAAACTATTCAGTGGGGAGTCTTCCCCCCTACCCCGACTCTTAAACTAAGCTCCCTCTTAAAACCTTGTAAGCCAGTTACTTCTTGCCTTTACTGCCCCCTCATTTTAGGTAGCCAATGTCTAAGTTACCGGCCCCTATCTACCCTGTCTACAGAGGGCATAGTATTTATACTTGATTTGAAGACTTCTTCCCTCTCTGCTGGTATTTTTCTTTAGCCATTTTTTGATGGGTGATTTTTCCTTTTCATTTAGTTGTAAAAGTATAATAAACTTTTAAAATATTAGACCATTATCAGGTATATGGTTCCCCAAAATTTCCTCCTACTCTATAGGCTTGCTGTTTTCACTTTTTAGGTAGTTTTTTGAGGGACAGACATAGTTAATTTTTATGAGGTGTCACAGGTAGACCTTTTCTCATTTCTTTAATTGTAGTTCATGGATGTGAGCATAGATTTACACCCTGAGCAGAAGTGTTAATTGTGCTATTTTACCATTTTTCTTTCAGCTAATTATATGGACAATTGGAAGTGTACTGGGATTTTGAAAGGTAATGGGAGCCCAGTCAATGGGAATTCTCAGCCGGGAAACTCAAATCCTTCCCTAGGCTCAAATATTCCAAATCTACAAAATTCATTAAATGGATCTTCTATTAGCAGGTAGGCTGTTTTTGTGGGAAAACTGAAAATTACCTATTTTTATAATAATCCTGATGTGGTGTTGTGGGATAAAGCACTGGACCGCAAGATTGTTTGGATCCACAAAATCAGCTGTTCAAACTTACCAGGTGCTCTTTGGAAATCCTATTCAGGATTGCTATGAGTTGACTCATCGGCTCTTAGCAACAATAACAACAAAACAATCTGGTAGCAATAGTGAAGGTTTGTTTTTCATTCTCTTAAAGATGGGATGAAATTTACAATATAATTATGACAGTAAAGTTTAAAAATTCACTTGGTTAGCTCTGTACTTGGCTTTTTTGTTGTTAAGTTACACTGAGTCGATTCCAACTCGTAGCGACCGTTTATACGTTTCAAGGAGTGGCTGGTGTGTTTGTATTGCCGACCTTGCGGTTCAAACTGACCCTGTAGTCTAGTGCATTAACCGATAGCGCCACACCAAGACTCCGCATTTGGCTTGAGACTATGTGATTGTTAAGTGAACAAAATTATGTTCTCACTCTTGCTAGTCTCTTATTAGAAACATTTCTAACTGCAAGGTCTCATTTTATGTTACCTAGATGCAGAGGTAATATAGATTCATACTGAGATTTAGTCCTATATAGTCATAAGTAATGTCTTTGTTGTTACTGTTGATAGTAGTGAGCCTTTAGTTTGTATGAAATTGAAATTTTAAATAAAATATATTATGGCTTTATAGAAGATAAGTTAGTTTAGCTTTTGTTGATGGAGATTATAAAAAAATTATGTTCTGGGTTAATAATTTTTAGAATAGCTTATTTTCGATTCTTGTTTATCTTAAATGTTTGATCTGGTCTAAGAGTCATCGTTTTGCTTTCATGTTAAAATATGAATATGTAAGATTTTTATTATTTTAATATGCCTTTGGGGGTACTTTGGAATAGGACTCAGGAGAGTTCGTAACACAACCTTAACCTGTAGTTATCCTGTTGTTATTTTAAACAAGAGAATTCAGTTTAAAGCTTTCCCAACTATTTTTATATTGTATATTTTTATAAAGAAAGTTTTGTTCTGTTGTTTATTTTCAAGGTTTGCATAATTCATCAAAACAGTTTCAGGGTACCATACAGATAGATTATGAATATGACTTCATAAAGCAAAAGAAAAGTAGTCTTAAGAAAGAAATTTAATTTTTGATTGCTGTCTCTGCTGTGCTCATGTGTATAATTTTAATAGCTTTGAAGTTTTGATTTGTATTCATATTGTGCCAATGTGTTTTAGATCTGTGATGCATTTTCCTTCTCCATTTGTATTATGTCCTTTAACAGAAAGCACAGCTGAGTACAAGCTAACTGGAGTAACTTTGCTGTTTGCTGCTTGTTACATGCACACAGGAATGGAAAGCGAACTCCTTTTCCCCTTTCCCAGCGTCGTTTGACCTCTCCCAAGATACACCAGCACCTTCCTTACTACTAAATGCAATCAAATGGCCTTTAAAAAAAATAACAGTGTATATAATTTTCTTGTGCAAGCCAACTTATTGACAATATTTGAAACTCTTGAAATATAAGTAGAGAGGCTTTTTGTTAAGACATTTTCATCAAAATAATTTGTTTTTGACTTGAAACTAACATGAATTTAAAAATTAGGATTGCTTACATAAATAATTGGGAGGAGTGAAAATATCACTTTATTCCATCTGGAGAATATAGGCTGCCTTTGTTTTCTAAAATAATAAGCTAAAAGTATGGATTTTTATAATTTCAATTTGAAGATTGAATAATCTTCATAAAGATTATATTGAGTCCCAATTTGTTTACCCTTTGTAGAATTGGTTTGTACGTATCATTTAGTACAGCTCTGTCATTTCAGTGTGATATTTATAAAGTATTAGTAAGGGAGAGAAGCAGTAATACTAAAATGAAAGTAATTTGTATAGCCTGTAGCCATGTTTAACATTTGGTATTGCTTTTGTAATTTGGTAGTAAAATGCAAACACCTTTGTAAGTTTTTAATTAGATTTCACTAGGGAGTGAAATGTTTCTATTATGTATATATATGTTTTATGGTGTAGTTACATGGCTTAAGGTTTACTCAAAGTGAAAATTTAGAAGTGTTCTGTAATTTGAGAAGCATTTAAAATTTTGCCGACATTGCATGCAAATGGATAATTCTAAATCCAAGGGTTTTTTTTTAAATTTGAGTGTTTCAGTTAGTTTATATCTTCTAGAGCTCTGATATGAATAATAAAACTGTAAATATTAATACTAAAATGAATAAGTATTACCTGTAAGGTAAAACTGCAAAAGAGTAACAGCAAGAGGGGGCTTCAGAAAGTTTGTGGGGAAGCGGAATTAAGGGATGTTGAAATTTTTGAAGCCCTCTTGTATGACATTGAAATTCTTGGCCTTTTTACTTATCAAAATTTTGTAGGAATTCTGTGGGTTTTGCAGAAAATCGATGTTCATTGGTTGTATTTTTTTCAAAAGTATGTTCCAATAACTATTCATATTATGTGCAAGTGTATATTAATTGGTTCTCAGTATTATGTATGCACTAAAAATGTGTGCCTGCTGCTGCTACAAATGAAGCATTGCGTAAAGTAAAAAGGCTAGATTTGTAAATTTACAGGATAGCATCCAGTATGTTTTTGACAGAAAATGTTTTAATAAAATTAATGTCTTTATAAAATTAAAAAAAACACTTTAAGTTTAACAAATTGTATTTCCCTCAAGTTTCTATATTTGTTTAAGCAAACTTGGTTTTAAAAAGGGTCTTAATTTTTGCTATTATGTTGTTAGTTTTGGCATGAATATAAAGTTTTATGTTTGTTTATTTCAGCATGTGTTTTCTCTTCTTTGGTTCTTTGTATTTACTACTTTTCTCTTTTTCTTCTGTCCCCACCCCACCCCACCCCCACCCCCCTTTATTTTTCCTGTTGTTTTTGTTTTGTTTGGTGTTTTGTTCTTGTCTTGTTTCAGGTATTTCTTTCCCCCTGTGGATTCCCCACAGGCTGGATCGAGATGGTCCAGTTATGCCCAGCTTCTTCCTCCTCTTCTTCCTCCTCTGGTAGAACAGTCTTGTGATGTTGACACTGCCAATCTCCAGTATCCTCACCCACGCAGCAGACGATCTGTCTCACGGCCTCTTAACTCCTTACCTGAGAGTGACGGAGTTTAAAACACTGATTTAACATTTAAAGGCCTCTTCAAATACTTACCTGAGAGTGAAGGGGTTTAAAACACGGATTTATCATATAAAAGTCTTTTCAAATACTTGGAAATACATCCATTCCTGGATGCTTTTTTCTTTTTCTTCATTTTCTTTCAGAAGATTTTTTAAATTAGGGTTTGTCTTGCATGTTAACAACCAGAACACAATGTTTTAAACTTAAATAATGTTTGTGCTTATGCATCAAAGGAATATTTGCTTCATTAAATGATTAGTATTAATGAAATATGTACAAATAACATTAGCTTAGTTACACACAGCTGACTTAAAAGTGTCTGTCCTTTAAACTTTATTTTGAACTATCGATGGTCTAAAGTTTCTTAAGCTTTGTTGTACTGGCTAATGTTGAAAAGTATGTCATTATGAAGTTTACAATGTTTTTGAAACATATTAAAACTTTTATAGGTTAATGTTGTAACTGTCTAGTGTATAAAATAAATATTTCTGTGTGTAAAGCAGCAAACCATAATATGGATAGTTTGGTGTATCTCTTTTCCCCTTTGGGAAATTCCATTCACTACTTGAAAATACTGCCTAAAGCTTTTGTAATTATCCTAGTAGGTTATTTAATAAAATATTTCTTAAAAGTTATAAATCTCTTGTCTTAAAAACTGGAATGTATTTTCCTTGTTAGTTGATAATGCTTACCATGTTAATAAAATTAAGGAATGAGCATTATAGTTAATTAAAACATAGATAATATAAAGACTAACGTCTGTAACTGATATGTGTTGACTTTTAGTTTGGCAACATTAGAATATATTATTTTCTAAAATGATGTCTTAAAATTTGAATTATTAATATTTGACTATTTGATGGAACATATTTGACAATAATTATGGTAAAATGATTAATACTCTGGGACTAGTAATATTTTTTACTTTACATTTCTCAAGTGTTGCCAAGGCCTTAAGCTCCTTGTAGGGCTAAAGACAACTTTGAAGAGCATTTCATATTCTCTATAACTACCAGTTGTTCCACGGGAGAAAGATGAGGCTTTCTGCTCCCGTAAAGATTTACAGCCTCAGAAACCCTGTACAAGGTTACTATGAGTCAGAACCGACTCCACAGCACATAATAACAACAACAATAACTTAATTGGAATCCTCGTGTGGCACTGTGGGTTAATGCGCTGGACTGCAAATTCGGTTTGAACCACAAGGTTGGGAGTTCAAGCTCACCAGGTGCTCCTTGGAAACCCTATACAGGGTTGCTATGGGTCAGAACCGACTTGAGGGTACTTAACAACAACAACAACAAATAACTTAATTGGAATCTTGCAGTGGCACTGTGAGTTAATGCATTGGACTGCAAAGTCGTTTGAATTGCAAGGTTAGCAGCTGAAATTCACTATCTGCTCCTTGGAAACCAACTCAAAGGTACTTTACAGCATAACAATTATACAAAGCTGACACAACTATTATAAGTATAATCTCACTTTAGAAGACACCTTTCATATAAATAGTGTAATTCCTTAAGAGATTTTTTTTAACATGCAAAAGCTAAAGAACTAACAATATGTTTTTAAAAATTTTAACTTAAGGAGCATTTGAGCTTTGTTATATATAATTATTAAAATGTTCTCTGTAAGGCTAGGATTCAAAATTATTTTAAAAAATCAGTTTTGAAATAATTTTCAAAGATTTCTTTTTTATGAAGGATTTGCTTTGGACTTAGAGATTTGTTAAGGTTCAAAGCAAAGAATGAATCTAGTGGAGAATTAACGAATTCACGTCTGTTAGATTTTAACCATTACACGGATTCCATTACATGGAAAAATGAATGATTCCTATTCAAATTCACATTAGTGAGGTGTGGCACTGTGGGTTAATGCACCAGACTGCAAAGCCATTTGAACTGCAAGATTGGTAGTTCAAGCTCACCATTTGTTCCTCAGAAACCCTATACAGGATTGCTATGGATCAGAAATGACTCGATGGCACTTTCCAACAATAACTATGTACAAGGTACAGTGCTAAATAGTTTGAAGTATGTTAAAAGCACTTAAGCATTCTAGTAACATAAAACATTTACAGAATTTGCAAAAGATGGTAGCAGTCCAGGTAGAAATACATAGTATGTTGTTAGGTGCCATTGAGTTGACTCCAAATCATGACGACAGCAGAACGAAAACACTGTGGTCCTGTGCTATCCTCACAATTGTATCTTTGAGCCTGTTGTTGCAGCCACTGTTTTTCGCTGACTGTACCAAGCATGATCTTTATCTAGGGACTATCCCTCCTGATAATGTGTTCAATGTATGTGAAATGAAATCTCAATATCTTCGCTTCTAAAGAGCATTTTGGCTGTAGTCCGTGTTATATTTAGTATTCTTTATATTCTTTGTTATATTTAGTATCATAATTCAAAGGCATCATTTCTTTTGTCTTAGTTATTACTAAGAGTCTGGATTAGCAGGCATATGAGACAATTGAAAATAACATGACTTGGATCAGGTGCACCTTAGTCTTCAAAGTGACATCTTAGGTTTTTTAACTCTTTAAAGAGATCTTTTATAGCAGATTTGCCGAGTGCAGAACATTGTTTGATTTCCTGACTGCTGCCTCCATGGACATTGCTTATGCATCCAAGTAAAACAAAATCCTCAACAGCTTCAGTCTTTGTCTGTTTGTCATGATGTTACTTATTGGCAAACAACAGTATAACATAAAAGAGTGACTTTTGTAGCTAGCAGGGTTATTAGAGTAGAATGTGGCATTTCCACAGTGGAGATAGAGGAAATTAGGAATTTCTCCCAAGGTTATCCAAAAGTAAAATGATAGGAATGTTCAGGGTACATAGCAATTTTATGTACAACACTGCCCAGTCCTGCACCATCCTCACAATTGTTAGGCCTATTGCTGCCACTGTGTCAATCCATCTCAATGGGGCTCTTCCTGTTCTTCACTGACCCTCTAATTTTCCAAGTACGATGTCCTTCAAGGACTGGCGCCTTCTGAAAACATGTCCAAATTATGAGAGATGAAGTACTTGCCATCCTGGAGTCTAAGGAGCAGTCTGGCTGTACTTCCAAGACAGGCTTATTTATTCTTCTGGCAGCCCATGGTACTTTTAATATTATTCTCCAATAAAATAATTCAAATGCATTGGTTCTTCTATGGTCTTCCTTACTCATTATTCAACTTTCAAATGCATATAAGGAGACTGAAATATGGAATAGGTGAAAACGGTATAAAAGAAGTAATGAAGGAAGGAGAGATGGTCTTTAATTGATAAAATGGAATCCAATATATCAATTTGGATGCGGTTAACAGCATTTTTATAGACGGAGAAAAGCTACTGGATAGAAGAGTTTTTGTTTTGTTTTACAGTGACTCTTTTTTCCATTTTCTTTTTTTTACTGTGGATTGAGTGAAAGTTTACAGAGCATATCATCAGTTTTACATTCAACAAATCATATACCTTGTTTCATTACATTGATTATAATCCCCTTCATGTACTATCTGGTAACAGTATTTCTCTCTATCCACTTTAACTTTTTAAAAAACAAACAAAAAACCCCACTGAGGTATATATAATAATTTACATATCTAAAGGGCACATTCTGCAAGTCACATTCTGCAAGTCGCCTCCTGGCCACCAGCTCTTAGTCCTTCTCTTCTTAGTCCATGAACCTAGAGTCCTCAGCCGCTCCCCGTTCTCCATTCCCCCATCTCTGCCTCCATCTCTGGTGCTGCTGCTTCTCTGGATAAGGTCCCGAATTCTGCTTGTGCATTCCTCTCTTAATGGTCCTAGGGTCCTTTGTTTCTGGAATGTAAGATTAACCACTCCCCTTTTTTTGTTACAGAACTTCTACCTTTACATTTGTGACAGTCGCGATTAGTCATGATAACAGTTATTCACTGTTGAATCTTACGAATCTTATTCCCATCTCTTTTCACCAGACCCATCTAGACAAAATGACAGCTATTCAGTGGGGACTCTTTCTTTCCCCCCATACTCTTAAACTAAACTCCCTCTTGAAACCTTGTAAGCCAGTCACTTCGTGCCTCATTTTAGGTAGCCAGTGTCTAAGTTGTCCAT